TTCAACACAATTGATGTAATTCAAAGCTAACTTGGTAATTTAACACCTACATAAGCATGCATGTATGAATTGTAACTAAAATCTTCATCCTAGGCTCAATATACATATTTAAACTCACAATCTACATGTTAATAACTTAGATTCATAAATTTAGGAGTTAAATTCATACCTATAGTCTTGAATTAGTCTTGCTCTTGCACAAAATTGATGAACTCAAGTAAAATCTTCAACTTCTTCTTTTAATCTCTCATTCCCTCTCTCTAGAATTGCACTCTCTCTCTCTATAAGATGAAATCTCAGGTTTTTCCACTCAAGGGAAATGAAAGGAAGTGAGCTCAAAAGAGCTAAATGTGATGCATATATAGTTATGATGATATAATGCATTAATTGGAACATTAGGCTAACCAAATACGACCTAATTAATCGTTCTGAATCAATTTTTAATAAAATTTGCCACAAGGTTCTAAAAATTCCAAATAACATATTGATGTAATCAATTTTGGTTTCGGATTCTGATAAGGCTTTCAATTTACATATTAAAGCGGAAAATCCAAACAGATATTTCTACAGGCAACAGATAGAAAGCCAAATATCATGCAAAATACAGAATAAACACATAATTTATTTTAATCCTCTCATTAGAATCATTAATTGCGGATTAGTGGCTAATTACAGATCGGGGTTATTACGCTTAGATAAACCACTAAACACAATAACAAAGATTAACGAGTTCCACAGCGTGAAAGAAATTCCAGCCTTAAAAAGTTACGAAGTTTCATTCAAAATCTGATCATAAGATGTGTTGCCTACATATATATGCAAGTGAAAGGCAATTTCACATCAATGCATGCACACAATTTAAATAGAGGAAAACAATTAAAAAAAAAAGGCTTGAGAAAAAAAAAAACCTTTTTAATTACAATCTAACCCGGTGAAACTACAAAAACCAATCTATAAGGAAGAGTTATGTGCATTTAGGCTTCAGCATTGGTGAACTGTTGTTAGGGTGTGAAGGACCAAGCTTTTGCATCCAATGAAGAAGCCCCTTCTTATGATCTTGGCATATCAGGTTTTGCACAAGGTTGAGCTTCAGATTGTCCATTTTAGAATTGAGCTTCAGATTCAGGTTCTGGAATTGTCAATTTCTTTACCATATTATTTACCATAACTTTGGACTAGGATTCAGATCAAATTCACATCTCTAACATTGCTGTCAAATCACAATTTGGAGCCGAGTCGATTTAGGGCTGGGTTTGTGTCAAAGTGTGCGAATGGAAAAAGACGTAGAGAGAGAGAAGGGGGGGAGGGCGAGAGAGAGACATACCTGAGGTAAAGTCAATTGTGGATCGACGAAGATGCGACAGTGGTGCTATGTATGATGGAGGTAATGCTCCTGCACCCAACGCCGATGGACACAAAGTGAGAGAAACAAAGGCGAACAGGGGCGGGAGAGAGAGGGAGAGGCAGTGAATCGGTGCTCCGGTTGCCGGTGAACGCGAGGAGGAGCAGCGGAGAAGAGCTGTTCCGTGGCTGGTGGAGCGGCGGTGAGAGAGAGAGGGGAGAGAAGCAGCAAAAAGAGAGATAGAGGGAGAGAGAGAGGGAGAGAGACGTTGAAGACAGAAAGTGAGAGAGGCGCTGGTTTGCTTAAGGGTCTGTTTGGTGACATTTACGTTTTCAGTTTATATTTATAAAAATTTTATAAATTGATTTTTGTTTATTTTTAGAAAAACATAAACTACAAATGCGTTTAGTAATTGACAAAATGTTTTAAAAAATTTAAAAATATAAAAAAGAGTGAGAAATGGCAAGTGGCGGAGGAAAACGGTTGTAGAAAGTGGTGACGATGGGTGGTGGGTAGCGGGTGCTGGTGGGTGGTGGCGGATGAGTGGTGGTGGTGGTAGGTGGATGGGTGACGGTGGCGGGTGGTAGGTGGTAGCAAGTGGGTAGTGGTGGTGGGGGGTGGTGGCGGTAGGTGGGTGGCGGGTGGGTGATGGGTGATGGTGGTGGTGGCGGCGGGTGGGTGGCGGGTGGCTGGTGGTGGTGGGTGGCTGGTGGTAGCAAGTGGTGGATGGTGGTGGCAGGGGGGGGGGGAAAAATTATTTTTGAAATTATATCTCAAAACATAAACTAAACAAGGCCTATGTGATTGAATAATAAATTTTGGTTCAGGTTTACAAAAGAAAACATAAAAGTGAGAAAAATGAATATATATACACACATATATATTAGGGTTTGACTTTTATCAAGTTGGGATCTCAACTTGAGAAAGCATTTAAGCTTGGTATTTGAAATTAATTCTAATGATCTAAACCGTTCACATTTTAAACTCATTGAATAGAATATTCATGTAAAAACTAAGATGATTGAATATCGGTAATTATATATTTGAATGATCTTTGCTTTAAAAAAAAATGAACAACAAATATAATTTTAAGAATAATCATTCATTTTTTGTAATATAAATTTGATTGAAACATATAATTACAAATGTCTGATTATCTTATTTTTTACAAAAATATTCTTATCAACGAGTCTTAAAAAGCGAACAGTTTAGATCATCGAAATAAGACCTATGATGGGCTCTACGAATCCCTTAAGTTCTCTCATGTTGAGATCCCAACATGATGAGTGGGTGGTGGTGATGAGTGGTGGTGGCGAGAGGTGGGTGGTGGTGGTGAGTGGGTGGTAGATGGCTGGTGGGTGGTTGGTGGGTGGTGGTGGCGAGTGGTGGGTGGTGGTGGCAGGTAGGTGGTGAGTGGTGGTGGTAGGTGGTGGTGGGGGGTGGGTGGTGATGGCGGAAGACGGTGGTGGAAAATGGTGGCGGGTGGTGGCTAGTGTTGGGTGGTAAAAAAAAAAAAAAAAAACTCAAAACTCAAAACGGAAACACATTTTTTGAGTTTACATTTTTTGGGCAAATTTATAAACTGAGACCATTGATTTATAAATCAAAAATTACCAAACAAGTTTTTATTTGAGTTTTTAAAATTTTTGTAAATATAAACTAAAAACTGAAAACGTAAGTGTTACCAAACGTCACCATAGGGTTTGGTTTGGAAACAAAAATATATAAATCCCTCCAATTCGCGACTAAGTCACCAATTAATTTTATAAATCCCTCTAAAATTTGAAATATCTCCCTCCAAATATTTTAGTTCTTGGGCGACTAAAATTTTTTTTAGTCGCTAAAAATAACTTTTTGGCTACCAAACTTTTGGTTGCCAAAGATAAAAATTAAATTTTTATTTTTCATTCGGCGACTAAATAATTTTAATAGCCAAAACTAATTATATATCGACCAAAATATTTTTTAGCCGCTGAAAATAACTTTTTGGCGACCAAACTTTTGGTCATTAAAGATAAAAATTAATTTTTTGTTTTTCATTCGGCAACTAATTAATTTTAGTAGCTAAAACTAACTATACATCGACTAAAATATTTTTTAATCGCTGAAAATAACCTTTTGGCAACCAAACTTTCGTTGCCAAAGATAAAAGTTAATTTTTTGTTTTTCATTCGACAACTAAATAATTTTAGTAACCAAAACTAACTATACAGTGATTAAAATATTTTTTTAGTCGCCAATTGTGGCATTTTTAGCTACTAAATTTTTTTTTATCGCCAATAATCAATATACCCCGACTAAAAAAATTTAGCCTTGGTTTGACAAACCATGTTGGCTATATAATCACAAAAGACAAAAAAAAAAAGACCATAAAATTACAAAAAGACAAAAAAGTTACAAAATTACTAAATTAACCCATATATAAATAAAAAGTCAAAAAAATATCATTTCTATGTAGAGGACAATTTTGTCATTCCAAAACCAAAAAGTCAAAAAAGCCGAATAAGAATACCAAACGACTAAAAAAGTCCCTGACTAAAAAAGTCAAAAAAGCCAATACGCCAACTAAAAAAGTCAAAACCAAACGACTCTTTAATAGCTAAATATTGTACTTTTACTGACTAACATAATTTTTGATTGTCAATTCTATAACTTTTGACGACTAAATATTTTTTAATTATCAAATTTAATCGCCAAAAATATATTTTATTGCAGTGTCATGTCGTTAGATCAACACGAAATTACACAACATGTTCAAGGAAAATGGGTGGAACAACTCTAGATTACACATTGAAATTTTTATGCACAACTTTGTGCAAGTAACACTATTGTAATTCATTGCTTTCCTTCTCGCTTCAATTAATTAGTTTTTAGAAAAGATAAGTACATAAAAAATCAACTACAAAAGTATACACAAAACACTCACATGGGTGCTTTTTGTACTTTTCTACGGTTCATTTCTAAATATATAAAATTGTTTTTTTCCTCTATCAATTAACACGTTATATATCAAAAAAATGGAGTTCAGTTCAGACTATACTTCGTAGGTGTTTGGAAAGTGAGTTTTTTTTTTAGGTTTTTTTAGTTGTAGGATATTATTGGAGAACAAATTTTTTGTGTTTGGAAAAATAGTTGGGTTGTTTTGTAGTTGAATGTGATATTTGTGAGAGAAAAAGTGAAATAATTATGGGGTTTGATGTGATACTTTGTTTGGATTTATTTTTTTTGATTTTGTAACCAATTTGTCTTTTAATGAAAAAAACCAAAAAAATCAAAAAAAATATTTCCCAAACACCGCCAGTTTACAGTCGAACATTCTTGGATTTAAAATTTGAGAAGGAATTTTTGAAGAAAAAATGATAACAATTCTAGCTTCTATTTCATTCACTTCTTATTATTTTTCTATTATTCAATAAACAACAATTATGTTAACCTAGAAAAATTGTCTAGATTCTTACTCAGAACAGGAGCTTGTGGTTGCGATTAAATTTGGAGCGTGGGGTCTATGTGTAAAATAAATCTTAAACCGCAAAATAATATTTCTGAGTAAAATTTATGAGTTTATAATATTATTGTTCCATAAAATTCATTTTCAAACTTAAAATCTAAACACAACCTAAATAAAGATTTCGAATCCAAAGTTTATGATGATATGCAGGACCAATATACAAGTATTCGACAGGGAACAAACAACATTTGTATGTGAACAACCTTGATCTTGTTAAGGAAATGAACCAATCTACAACCTTGGACCTAGGTAAGCCATGTTATGTGACTAAGAGACTTGCACCCATGCTTGGCAATGGCATTTTGAGATCCAACGGTCAAATTTGGGCTCGACAGAGGAAAATTGTTGCACCTGAATTCTTCATGGATAAGGTTAAGGTAAGTACCCCAAAAACAACATATTATTATTATTAATTAGTCACTATTTTCAGAGGTCAATTAATTGTCTATTGATTTATATCATGTACTAGATGGAGCCTAGATTTATCAAATGTGTCTCAAATCTAAGTACTTGTGCATGCTAATATAAGTAACGATTACTTGAGGAGTAATTATTATGTAGCCTTCGAACATAGATCCAATCTTGAATTTTTTAGGAACTTAAGTGAACTCTTAGATTAATTTTGGCAGTTTCTAACTATTAAATTGAGCGAATTGAATTTACAATTGATTATATAAAAAACAACACATTAATCTGTGTTTGGGAGGGGAAAGATTGAGTACACACCTAATTTTTGGCATAATGCACAAAGTGATGGCCCCAAGACTTGAACTCATAACCTCAAAGTTATTAGGCTAAGTCTTAACCATTGAAGATCATATTTGATTTTAAAAAGTAAATAAAAAAAAAAAACAAATTGCAAGGTAACTTTGCCATATATACATACAAACAAGTACTGTAACATATAAGAGTCTTAGAAACTAAATTTTTTGATCTCTAAAAGTGAAAATTTTGTTGCAAAAGATATTTAGGAACCAATTTCTATTGTCGTGGGGATAGTCGTTAAAAGGTCATCCTAAAAAGTAAAAAACTAGGCTTTTAGAGACAATTTTAAAAATGTCACTAATAAATAGAATTTTATGGACAAAATTATTTGATTTCAAAATGATTTATTTTTTGAAACAAAAAATTTGGTCCCAAAAGGATAATAATTCATCACTAATGTCCAATTTTTGTTGCTAAAAATATAATAACGACACTTTTCGTAACAAAAATATTTGGTTTCTAAAAAATAATTTTATTTTTAAATTTTGGTCTCTCAAATCTTAATTTTTTGTAGTGGGGATGACAAAATAGACCCTCGAATTTTAGACATGAATTGCGGGCCTCGCTTTGATTAGTGGTTTGAAAGTTTTGAATTTCATGCAGTCTTACAAGCATACTGTACTCACACCTATAATTCATACAATAAGAATAATTTTGTTTTCAGGCCTAATATAAGGGTTGGACCTAGGTGAGGTCCTATTTGTTAACCCCAAATTAAAAATCCTAATAGGTCGCTTTGTTAGTTTATCCTCAAGGTTGACCCCATTGGAGCTCCAACTTAACACGCTAAAATGGTATCCTAGATCAATAAGAACAGTAGTCACGGGATAGATAGAGTCGACCTGACTTACCTTGGTTGCCTGTATGGGAGAAAAAGTTGATTTCATCCATCCCTTTCGCAAAGTCTCATTGGCAAGAAAATCACATGCATTTACCATGGTGCTGCTTATTCAATAGTTTTTCATAATTGGCATGTCTATATATATAGAGAAATCCAGTAAAGTGTTATGTCAAGTATCAAATAATTTTTTGGCATATTTCTTTGTGAATGATATGGTTGGGTTAATTGGGTTAATTGGGCAGGGCATGGTGGGTCTAATGGTGGAGTCAGCACAACCATTACTGAGAAAATGGGAGGCCTGCATTGAAGAAGCCCAAGGTCAAGGTGTAATGGCAGAGATAGCAGTGGATGAGGACTTGAGGAGTTTCTCAGCAGATGTCATCTCTAGGGCTTGTTTTGGAACCTCTTATTTCAAAGGCAAACACATCTTCTCCAAGCTTGGGATTCTTCAGAAAACCATTTCCAAGCAAGCCTTTCTCTTTGGTGTTTCCACCTTTGGGTATGTTGGCCTATACTTCCTCAGTATCTCTACTTTTTTTTATCCCTCAGTTTTTCTATTTTACTAAAACTGATCATTAGAATCAAACACAATCCTCTCATATAAATGTGGGACTCACTTTATGTGAGAGGGTTATATACGAGTGAAAATAATTAGTCCCTTTTCATTAGTAATTCAACTGTCATATATGAGTGAAAAATAATATTATCATCTCTTTTATATTGAAACGTATTTTTGTGTCTTCACTAGTAAAGTTCATATTGATTTATTTTTTATTTTTACAAATGTGTATGGCAGATTTGTTCCAAGTAGGAAACAAAATGAGAAGAGGAGGTTGGAGAGGGAGATAGAGACATTGATTTGGGAGGCAATAAAAGAAAGAGAAGAACCATCATCAACAAAGAAGGATCTATTGCAGCTGATTTTAGAAGGAGCTATCAACAACCATCACTTTGTGGGGAATAATAAAAAGGATTATTCACCAAAGCAGTTCATAGTAGACAATTGCAAAAACATATACTTTGCTGGGTATGAATCCACTGCTGTTGCTGCCTCATGGTGCTTGATGCTTCTGGCTCTTCACCCCGACTGGCAAGCTCGTGTTCGCGAGGAGGTGGCTCTTGTTTGCCAAGATGGTGTGGTAGATGCAGATTCACTCCCCAAATTGAAAATGGTTGGTATCCCCAAATATATATGCCTACCATCATAAACTCCTTAAAATACCGTAAAGTGGCAAAACATTCGGATTTCTCACTGAAAACCTAAGTTCAAGTCTCCATAATTCTTTGTTGGGGTTAAAACATATTTCTTAGCGCCCAGAGCACGTGGAGAGCCTTAGCTTTGGCCCCGACGTAAGTGTGATGGAGTTCCCTACAAATGCGTTGTAGGTGCTAAGGGATAACACTCCCTAATAGATATATGGAGTAGCCTATCTATATATTCATTTATGAATAAAAAAAATAAAAATAAAAAATGAACATTTTAAAATGTTAAGATTTTAATTTTGTCAATTTTATTCTTAAATTTTTTTATTTGAATCCAATTAGCCCAATTTTAGAAAATGGTCAAAATCTTTAATTAGTAAAATTTACCTTTAATCTTTAAAATAAGCATTCAGATTTACTTCTGTTATCAATGTTTGATTTTGTCAATTTCATCTCTAACCGTCATAGACTACTTCGTTTTCTTCAAAGTGACATTTAAAAATTTTTTTGGGCTAAAATGACATTTAGTGTATACTTCTGTGGACAACATGTGTATTTTTTTATTGTTATTTTTCTTAATTATTTATATGTTCTGTTTAAATTGGACTAATTTGATTCAAATTAAAACTTTAAGGATGATGAAATTGACAAAATTCTAATTTTGAAGACTATAGTATACAAACACCTGCTTTAAAGACCATATGTGTATTTTATACTATAATACATGTACAATTGCTATAATATGAGTTTTGGTTTTTTTTTTTGTGTGTGTGTGTGTGTGTGTGAATTTGGTCATCCAAATTGTTATTTTGTTAATATAATTTCTAAATTTTTTATTTTGAATTAAAATGGTCCAATTTCACTAGGTCATCCAAATCATTAACAAAATGGCTAATATGGTCTTTAAATTGGTGTTTCATTTCATTTTATCTCCATTTTTTTTTTCTTTTTTTCTTCTTGTGCCCTCTACATTTTTGTTCTCTACATTATGGTGTTTAGGGACGAAATTGATAAAGTCGAAATTTCCCTCTATGTTACATTGTTTGGAGACAAAATTGATAAAGTTAAAATTTTAAAGACAAAAAAATACAAAACATATATTTTAAAGACGATATGTATATTTTATAAACTAAACTAATTCAAATTTAAAATTTTAAAGAAAAATTTGATAAAACTAAAATTTTGAGTATCAATTTGACATAGATATTTTTTAAGATCACAGGAGTGCGTTTCATCCTTCATCTAATCTAAGTCTATATAAAATGCAGGTGAGTATGGTGATTCATGAGGCCCTGAGGCTATACCCACCAGCAGCATTTGTGTCAAGAGAAGCACACCAAGAAACACAAATTGGGCACCTCACCATCCCAAAAGGAGTCTGCATTTGGACTTTGATCCCCACACTTCATCGTGATCCTGAAAACTGGGGACACGATGCCAACGAGTTCAAACCTGAGAGATTCGCCAATGGTGTCTCTGGTGCTTGTAACAATCCCCATGCTTATGTCCCTTTCGGCTTAGGCCCTCGCCTCTGCTTGGGCCGCAACTTTGCCATGGTTGAGTTGAAGGTTGCCCTCACTCTCATCATGTCCAAGTTTAGTTTCTCTCTGTCTCCCAAGTATCGGCACTCTCCTGCTTTTAAAATGATTGTAGAACCAGGGCATGGGGTACATATCCTCATTCAGAGATGTAAACAAGGTTGAACTCATCCTTGGCATTTTCACCGTCAAAGAGTGTATCCCAAAACTTGTCCTAAAAGTAAGATGTATTGTGTAAATTTAAAGTTAGTGCGACGTGGGTTATACTTACAATGTATGTAGTTTGTTGATTTACTTTTCTAGCTAGTGTTTTTAGTAATTTTTATGAGTATGTAGTATAATTATTGAGAAAATTATTTGCTTATCAGAACTATCATGGCAGATTAGGTTCCGATCAATTATGTTTAGCCAAAATAGTGAAAGGATGCCTCATGTCCTACCTTTTTCTTTTTTTTTTCTTTTTTTTTTTTTTAAAAAAAAAGTTTTTTGAAGGAAGTAGGTTACAAGAAAGTGAGACCTCTGGCTTGACTTTTGTTTAGTTGATCAATTATAATTAGTTGAGATCAAAATTGACAGATCAAAATTGACGTGGTGATTCAAAATTACAAAAAAACACTCTTGTTTTTGTTAGAGAGTTTGTGAACAGTAACAAACATACGAGTGTATCAAAACACTCAAGGTGAATCTACCATATATTTGTTTCGATACATTCTTTGATATATTAGTGTTTTTGTTAGTACCCTAATACATTTCCCCCTTCTTTTTATCTCCAACTATGCTACAAACACAACCAAACACTCACTCACTTTCTCATATGCTTACCCTTTGATAGATATATTGGCCACCAAGCTACTACACAGTTAAAATCAAGGCCCATTTTATATCTTGACATTTTATAAACATTTTGTTTATAATTGGGTAGTTTTTTGATTTAATGAAATGAAGGTATAATGGAATGATTATTAGAATGTTGATTTGTATATTTGATTTATTAAAAATAATAATAATAAATACATTATAAATAGAATTATCATTCACCATTATAAGTGAATTGTCATTTCAAATGGAGATTAACGAACGAGTAATCTCATTTCATTTCACTCTTATTTTAATGAACCAAATATAACATTAGGACTAATTTATTTATATTAAGAGGTTAAGGGTTTTACTCTTGTCACAAGTAAAAAAAAAGAATTCTTCAAATTATAGTCTCCGATGTACACAAAACAATAATAAAAATAAAAATAAAAAATTGATTTTAATGAGTTAACCAAATAATATAAAGAAAAAAAATTTACGAATGTAAAATTTATACAAAATTTTATACCCACTTAATGTGACAATCATTTGTTAAAAAAAAAAAATTAGTGAAGCCACATCTCGGCCCCTTGTACATAAGATTCTAATTCTGTCCTGCAAACTAACACGAAAAAACAAATAAGAGGTTAGTGAAAAAAATGGCATGATTTGAGTGTGACATCAAAAATTTAAAAATTATATAAATATCTCTGCTCGTAAAATTACACAAATTATTATTATGTTGTGATATTTGTACAAAATCTTTTCACAGAAAAAAAAAAAAAAAAGAAAAAAAAAATCATAGAATAGAGACAATGCGGTGAGTCTAAAACGTGGCACACCAAAACTTTATCTTTGTTATGTGAACCTTCTCATTATCAAATAATGATAGATTGACAAACATTTCATGTCATGACTTCTTATATGGATGGTCGGTCTTTGGAACCCACAATGTAAGTAAGTTTTTTTTTTTTTTTATTTCTTTTCTTTCTTTCTTTCTGTATTTATGTTATTTTAATATTTTTTTAATCTTTTATAAAAAAAAAATGATTTTACAATATATAATAATTTTTTAACTAAAAGTAAAAGTTTCCAAACCAAGCCTAACTGATTCCATAATTTATTTATTGGATATGGATTTTTTAAAATTTATCATTTAATTTAAGATCTTATTTGTCATCTCTTAAAAAAGTTAAAAATTAAAAAGTTACTATTTTATTTAAATCACATTATCATATTTAAGTCACATTACCTCTCTATTACATCACTGCAAATCCAACTCATATTTTTAAAAAGTCAAAATGTACTTATTTAAAACATTCCAAACAACCGCTAAGAAAACAATTTTGACTTAGTGGGCCTATTTCAGAGTCAATTTTAGTTATTTGAAACTGTTTACTTTTTAAGACTTGTTAAGTAAAATATTTATGTAAAAAATTAAAATAATTTGATATCAGTAATTATATATTTGAATTACATTTGTCTTTTAAAAAATAGACACGGTATATTTGAATCAAATTTGTGTTATAAACTATTTTTGAAATTATATTTATTATCTATTTTTTAACATAAATATAATGAAAATATATAATTATTGATATTTGATTATTTTAATTTTTTATATAAATATTTTATTCAACGAAATCTAAAGAAGGAACTATTCATATCATTAATGCTGTGTTTGGTTAGTAGATTTGAAAAAGGATTTGAAAAGAGAAATAAAAAATATAAGTGAAATAAAAATAAAACATACTTATATTTCACCTAATTTTACACACATTTTTTCTTTCTCTCTTAAAATCTCTTTCTAAATTTTCTAACCAAACACACCGGAAGGAAGCTGCAAAATGAGCCACTAAGCCCAACTGATGACGTGGTACTCTATGATCTAATTGGGCCGAATCTTGAACTAGCCTCGGGCCCTCGGCCCATAGAACTGCCTCCAATCTATGGCACTAAAGTAGCACCTATGGATAATGCTGACTGGACAAGCGAGAGAGAGAGAGTGATGGCGGTTGTAGGCGGCGGCGTACACGGCGGTTACCTTCCCTCCGAACTCCGGCGACCACCACCCACAACCCTAACCTCCAAAATCAACATCACCAGAAAGGTCCGCACCACTCCACCGCCAATATTCATATCAACAAACCCAAGTCACATAAACCCTAACCACCTCAGAGACCTCTTCAGCCTCTGCAACCACTCCTGCCACCGCTTCCCCACCACCGACTCCGACCCCGTCGACCTCCACAAGCTCCGCATCGCTCTCTCCCACAGCTCCGTCCTTGTTTCTGTCTTCTCCAGACCTGAGGTCGTCTCCAATTTGATCGGAGTTGGGGGAGACTGGTTCCGGAGAGTGGTGCCGGTGACTCCTTCTAATGGTCAGTTGGTGGGATTTGGCCGAGCTGTTTCGGATTGTGGATTGACTGCTTCGATCTATGATGTCATGGTGAGAAATCCATTTATCAGATAAATTTTACACTATGTTTGGATTGAATGATTTGGAGAGAAAGAAAATAAATGGAGGGAAATGTATTTCACTTACTTGTTTGGATAACTTAAGTGAAGAGAAATAGAAAGAAATAAAGAGAAATTGAGAGAAACTGATTTCTCTTATAAGTCTCATTTTCAATCTTATCAAAAGTAGAGAGATTGGAAGAGAAAAGAAATTATTATTTTCATAATATTATTTTTATTCCTATAAAAATAAAAGAAATAAGCTTTGTTAACTATAAATAAATATTATATAAAAAGAAATTAAATCAGCTTGCTTGGTTTCATTTTTTCAAATACACTTTTCAGAAAATTCTACTTTCTTATTTTTAGTATTTTTTTATTCTTACTGAATTTTTTAATATTTTAAACAATTTTTTTACTTTTTGGACACACCTAACATAGATACACCTAAAAAGTAAAAAAAAAAATCTTTTAAAAATTCACTAAATACCAAATATATAAAATAAAAAAAAACAATAATTCCGTACGTTTTTTATATTTTTATGTATTTATTAATTTTTTAAAATATTTTTTCACAAATTTTTTACTTTTAGATACATTTAGGTAAGGTGCATCTAAAAAGTAAAAAAAAATGTTTAAAATTTTAAAAATATTCACTAAAAAAAAAAAACGCGAAACCAAAAAACTCAGTTTCAAAAAACTTAATCCAAAAAACTCAAACTAAACAGACTGATTAGAATTTTTTTTTTTTTTTGGTGAGATATATATGTTTCAGAAGTTTCATCTCAATTGGGAGCGAATTCTTTTCTGGATGAGTGAGTTTCCTACTTGAGAGCGCGGATAAGAAAGGTCATTCGAGTAAAAAGTTGCTGCTAATAAGTATTGAACCACTCCGGTAATGGAAATTTAAAAATTTAGACATCAAGTGTGTTAAGAAATCTAGTTTCATATTTGGAGGTAAAATTAGAAAGAAATGATGCTCAACTGTACATGTGTTTTCTGGGAAGTGTCTCAATTAACTGTAATGTAAGTTGTGCTTTCTTGCTTTTCAATTTTTATGAACTTTAATGTTATTCGTACCGGTTTCTAGAGTAATTTGTTTTCTTTGGAATAGATAGACATGTTGTATATATTCATGTAATTCTGTTTCAGCGTCTTACAGGTTATTCCTTCATTACGAGGTATGGGAATTGGCAGGATGATAGTTAAGAGAATCATAAGGTTGGTTAATACTCATTTTGTGGCCTTGGAGCAATGCTTTACACCATTTATCACTTGACATTTGTCAAGTTGTCGCCCAAAAATCCAACAAAAAAGTACTGGTCCTATTGTTTTAACCAATAAATATCAAGTTGGGTTGGGATGCCACAGGACTACCAAATAATTTTCCCATTTTGCGGCCAGTTTATGTTTCATTACTTACAAACACCAGTTTGTTCCAAAAACTGCGAAGTAATCATAAGGACACGTTGAAGTAGTGTTCAACATAACCCTCAAGGTGTTCCATAGTGTTTGTTCGATACAGTCAAGCTTTTGCTAAAATTGTGAATGTAGTTGATAGTATTTCAATAGGTTCCATTTGTACTGTTAACATTTGTATACTCATTCATTATGTTGTCTTAACATTTTTTTCCATTCTCCACGCAGGGTGCTCACTAGTAGAGGCGTCTATGACATAGCAGCCCTTTGCTCAGACAAGGAGAGGTGAATTTGCTAATCTTGCTCTGAACCAATTTAAATCTCAACTTTTTTTTAACAATTCTCTCCATCGTTCAATGTGTGTGCAAATAGTAATGTGTGGATAAACCGCCAGAGAAGGCGAAGGTTTAGAAACCAACTCTGAAAAAAAGAAAGAACTTGTTGTTTTGGAAACTAGTTATCTTAGTTAGCTTTTTGACTTTTTGTGAAAAGACATGCTGAAAAGTAGAGAGAAGAATTGACATTTTAGCAGTAACTTTTTGACTTTTTGGTTATTTTTTATTTTGGAATAGTAAAAGGAGTTATCCAGCTTCATCTTTGGATTCGAATCAACTGGGTTGTTACCTTTATAATATAGTACATAGTAACATAGATATGGCACCGAGTTTGTCCATACAGAGATTAACCATAGATGTTTTATACAGTACATCATTGATTGCAACCTATTTTTGTGCATATCCTAATAACTGTGCTGTTGATTACAATTTCCCTATATCCTCCTCACAGATTATTCTTTGAAGCGTGTGGATTTGGGGAAGACATTTTGGGATCTACTACAATGATGTATACTAGAACTGTTTCTAGCTGCGAAGCAAATCAGACGGTCAGATTGGTTGGTCGAAAGATATTGTTATCTGCGCCACAGAGAGAGCCCTTTAAATCATGAATAGTAAATTGATCATAAAGATGTCACCTACACCATGCTTTTTCTACATCTGAAGCCTTTGAATGTGAAGATAGGAATATTTATGAGGAGCTCAAGTTGATACCCATCTCAGATTTTGATGTCCAATTTTCATATCAAATATAAACAGAGAACTTGTCTAAAATCTTTGAAGTATAAAAAATTTCTGGTCTTGATGTACTGTTGGACATTTTTGTTAAGAGGGATGACTACAAACATGTCCATACAACAATTTTCTCACCTTCCCTTTATGTTACCAACTTTTGACTCTTTTGCAGATTCCTTCTTACCTGTAAAGCACTTGTTTGGGAAAAAGGTAACAAATATAACCGAATACCACAGCTTAGGGGTAATTATCCCTTGGCATTAAAGTAAAGTAGCCTTGTACATAATGCAAAACAGCATCACTTTATCAACTTTATTGAAAAAGAACCTTGCACAGGACAAATTCTCTCACCATTACTTGTTCCTTTCAGCGACTTTGAATTTGCCTGAAAATGGGGAAGATTTGGGTGGAAGTATGCTTGATTTCGGCTCGTGGGCTTCGGAGAACATCAGCGCTGTTTAAGCTCCAGTGGTATGCTGTTGGGTGGATTGATCCCAACAACAAATACTGCAGCAGGATTGATGTTTCTGGAAATGCAAATCCAGTTTGGAAAACAAAGTTTTCGGCTTTGGTCGATAACTCAGAGCCAAACTTCCAAGATTTGGCACTTCATGTTGAAGTTTACAGCAGAGAGCCCATCTTCCTCAGGGAAAGGCTCCAGGGGACAGCAACTGTTGTTCTGAAAGAGTTTTTCGATAAATATATCAAGAATTCTGAGGTTTCGAAGCCAGTTGAAGAAGTCGGGAGCTTTCAACTGCGAAAAAGGAATTCCAACAAACCTCAAGGATTCGTTGATGTTTCAATCCGAGTCTCGGAGGAAAGGGAAGAAGAACCTAGTTCTTATATAGGTATTTGTAGTATGGCTTGTGAATATATTGATTATTTGCTTGAACTTTGTTGATCTCTCTAGTCTTTTTGTTTCTTGATTTGTTTTGTTTTGATTTCTTATGCTTAAATTGCAATTCGCTAGATTAAATGCCCTATACATTATTACAGTTTTGATCACAATACCCTTGTGATTGAGGGGTTCTGATGCAGACCAATTTGGCATGGAGATTTTATTTATTTTTATAATTTGATATTTTAATATTTATATTTATTTAGTTTAATTATGATGTTAGTGTTTTTCAGTTTCTTATTTTATTAAGGATTAAGTTTTCAAATAAAAATTGGATTTAGTTTCCTATTTTAGTAAGGGTTTCTAACCTATAAATATTAGGTCTTGTAATATTTAACTTTGGAATAATATTAGAGTATGTTTGATTGGATGGATTAGAGCATGAGATTGAGATTATTAATCCATGGGTCCAATTATCCTATATTTGTTTAAACATTTTGGTTTAGGATTATTAATCCAATGGATAATTAATCTAACAAATTTGTAGGATTATTAGTAATGGGATAGGGGTGAGATTATTAATCCAATGCTATTAATCCAATTGGATAGTAAATATCACATAAATTTGATAGGATTATTAATATCTCACTATTAATCTTGTGAATCAAACATGATCTTAGAGTATTAGGCTGTAGCAGTTTGTGATGAGGATTGTGGCTTTTGTGTTCTTATATCTTTTTTTTTTCCCTTCTATTTCCTTACAGTGTTCTACACCAAGTTCCTAATGCTCATGTACTTGTAAGCTCTGTTTTGTAGGTAATGATGATGGATTCAAGCTCATGGATCACAACAATGGCATTAACTTGGCCAATGAATATGGAATCTCTCAAGCACACCCACCACAATTTCCTCTGGCACCGCTTCGCCAACCAGAAAATCGTCCGCCAACAAATTCCGGATTCACCTACCCCGCGCTGCTCCCTGCAACTTATTCTAATTCATCAGAAGCACGACCAAGCTACCCATCAGCCGGTGGACCGAGCTACCCATCAGCAGGTGGACCCAGTTATCAGCCAGCCCGAACTCCCCCTCCACCACCACCACCGCCTTCTAATGTCGGTTACATACCCACTTTCCTCCCGAGAACAGATCACTTACAACCAAGTTACATAAACATGCCATCCTCAGGAGGAGCCGCCCCGGGACGTGGTGGTGGAGCTGGTTTTGGAATGGGAATGGGTGCCGGAGCATTAGCAGCTGGTGCTGTGATCTTCGGTGATGATTTCATGTCAGGATTCAATGTTCCCGGGGGCTTGCAAGATGCTAGTCTTACCATAGCAACTGATCCTCCTTTCTGACAAATCAGCCTGTGTAATTTTATCTTGCAATGATATAAGATAGTGTGAAATTAGTGTTGCAATGTTGTTCAATTGCTTGATAAAAACATCAACATGTTCAGTACATAGGTCATAAATGGACTGAGTTTTGCAATGTCAACTTCCGGGTTTAGCTTTTAGCCTCTCTTGGCAGCGAAAGAAAAGGAAAGAACTAGTGCATGCTAAATATTTACATCTAATGTGAAATTTCGTACTATTGAATTGTGGTTATATTACAAATGTTATCACCACTGCTTCATATCAAAATCATCAATTGAGATTTGGAAATGAAATGATCTCCCTACAATTTGCTGAAGGTTGTATCCGGGTCTATCTGTCTAAGAGCAACTTGTTCTTAGGTGGACGGGCATTCTTGAGTGTAATGTCGCCCCGCCCCCAAAATAGCAACCTGTTTTGGTGATTTGGGGAATACAGAAGTAATTTGGGGTGTATGAAGCATATAAAACGTTCAGGTTGCTGCTTGCAGACACTGCTCCTGTGACCCGCCAAAAACTCTATGCAGAAATTTATCCACAATTGACACAAATTCTTCTGCCTTCTCTTCATGGGGCAAGTGCCCGCAATTCTTGATAACTTCTAGACAAGAACCAGGTATGGCTCGTGAAAGTCTCTCCGCATTCCAAGATGGGACAAGCCGGTCACTATCACCCGTGACAACCAGAACTGGATTTCATCAATCAAAAAACAAGAAGAATAAGCTTTGCCATTCGAGCTTTTGTTGTTCATGAAATGGTAACGCAAATTGGTGAATAGTTCAATGGTCATGCAAAGTGTGGAATGTCAAAATTTGAGGCAATTAATAGATCTACTTGGAGTTAGTGTTGTCAAAATATTGATTCCTTTGTTCTTATTTTAGAATATATCAAGTGAGCAACAAAAGAAAGAGTTAATATTATCACCTGGACACGAGATTTCATTGAGCCTATTTGTCAGCGGTGGCTTTGATTCAGACGAAGAATCTGTAAGCATCGCTGCTGTGTATTCTACAAGAGCCTTGTCCCAACCTTTAGCCCTCAACGGCTGTAAATGACGCCAAGATAAATGTGGGCACAATGTACCAAGCCAAACAATATTAAGAAAGATGGGGCTTTTTGAGACAAATCACCTTTGTGTAGCCATATACGACATGTTCAGTAACTCGAGTTGAATCATACCATGAATTCCGAACAGCAGCTACACCAAATTTATCGATCACCATCCTTATCTATAAACAATGACACATAAGCAACCGGAGAATGCTTGATCAATCCAACACAGTGCAAAAAGATTTTCCAACTTAGCCTTGTAAATATGAAACCTGAAAGTGGTTTAAAATACCGTGATGCTGAACCCAATTTTACGCAGATAGTTCGAAATGGGAATAGGAATGCAGTACACCATGTGCTTTAAATTGTGGTATGATAGGGGTACTTCTAGTCTAAAGTTTTTTTAAACCATTACGCATCCAATAACCTGTAGGTTTTTCCCCCAAAGTAATCATGTAACAACACATTTTTTTGAGCATTATGACATATTTTGAACTTTTGTCATGTCAAAACTTCACCCACCTTAGATTTTAGTTCATTATATTTGAATCTCTCTTTTACGCCCAAGGAAATCTTAAGGAAATATATTGGGAAAAACTTTATGATCGCTTTGGATTACTAAATTTACCACTTTAAAATGAAAGTGTACCATATTTCTTAATATGCGTTTCAAAACGTAATTCACTAGGAATCAACGTTTTCTGGTAACATTGGTTGGGATACAGTTTTACCGAGCTGATTTGTATTTGAAATTATGTTGGTTATTAATACCTTTCAAAAGGGAATATTGTGACTTGTAATTCTACGAAGAGAACATGAAAAGGGAGGCTTGGTATTGTATATGTTTGATAATATTTTGACTGAGGCCTACAGAACTGATTGAAATGACAATTTCCCAAAATAACTTGGTGTATCACAGAATCAAGAAGAGAAGATCCTTACCAACATCACAGCCAAGGCCGAGCGAAGAATTGCAGATAAAGCTTTCTTATACAGAGTATTGAACATTGCTCCCATCCCGTTCACCAAACGCATTACTGCTTGTAGAATGTATTTGGAGAATGTCGACACAGTGTTCCAGAGCCCGATAAATGGATTTCTCTGAATATTCAAATTTGAGCCATCTTCCTGCCTTTGAACATCTCTTCTGGATTGATTTTCTTTGACAACATTACGTGAAATCAGCGGGGCTAGAATTGCAGGGGCAACAAGGATCAGAGCAGCAACACGCCCTGGTGCTTCAAAATACGTATCAACTGCTACAATGGAACCAGCTGAATGCCTGCCATCTCATTATATTGTTGTTTTCATTAGGTTCAGACAGAGATGGAGAGTATCAAAAATTGACAAGACAAATGAATTAAGGGTTTTTAAGAAAGCACATCAAAAACCAAATATGTAGGATCGGAAATGTACATACCCCACCAGAACCACCTTCTCAGCTGCTAAGAATTCGATGAAGTACAACGTAGCTAGCACAGAAAATACCATAGAGTATGGATTCAAAGGTTTTTTATCTTCACTTCTAGGAGATGAATGCTCAGAAAGATTCACCCTCGATGTCAAGCCAAAGGCAGGTCTATCAAAGGCTAGAACTTTTGAACCAGTGACCCGAGCTAAAGGCTTCATAACTCGATGCCATGAGAAGAGAGAGGCTCCAAAGCCGTGAAACAAAATCATAGGAAGTCCAATTTTTTTAGTTTGGGAAAGAATTCGAGAACTACTCTCATCCTGTAATAAGTTTTGTGCGTGTGATTCGGCATCACATACCTTGTGGTGTATCTGTACCCCTTTGAACTCGCAAAAAAAACTGTCAGGATCGGCTAAAAGTTTAGGATCGAGTAATTCATCCTGATCTACGCCAGCTATTCTCCGCTTTCTTTGTTTTGGTTTCCCTCCCAACAATTGCTCTAGAGATATTTAATGAAGCATCCCATAAAAACAATGATTTTTTGTACAAAAACCAAAAAATATATACAAATATATATTTCATGATTCACCACTTAACTCAGTCAAATGAATGGAAGACCTAAAGTTCATATAATCTTGCATTAGGGTTGACTCTTTTGTTCATTCCAATTCTAACCAGTAAGTATTTTAGCACTAAAAAAACCCAACAAATGAGATTGAATGATTGATCATGTAACCACTTGCCTGCTTGGATGGTTGATAAAAATTTAGGCATAAGGAGAAAAATTCCATGTGATATTGTTTGACTCAGAAAAAGGTTACAATAAGGTCCCAAACAGATATTGTGCAGGAACAACAAGATGAGATGCAAATGAATTTCAAATTGCAATATGCTTGTTTCAGGAGTCAATATATGGTGATTTCAGTACAAATTGAAATAATGGGAAAAAAAAGTGAAATAGTGGTTGAGAGAAACCTACAGTTTATTTATTTTGGATTAATCATCCATAAGGAAAGAGAAATTAAGGAAGGTGTCCGATAAAATTAAAATTACATGAATAAAATGCAAAAGTCATTTGGATACAGTGTTCCTCCAAAGAAAGAATATTGTTGTTCAAAGGTACAGAAGGAAGAGTTGACAAGATAGATATTAGTCCGACTACACCATGTGGTACAGAGTATGAGGATTCAAGAAATAACATGCTTGAAACTGAATGCAGTAGACACAAGGATGCTAAGATCGGCAAATGGCAATTCCCATTAATCAATGCATTTTGAGAAGCTAGGTGCCACTATTGTTGGACAAGTCAAAATAAAATACTCGTAGAGGGAAAAGAAATAGGAATGGAAAAGTATTTATTCCTTTCACAAATCCATGATCCAAATACAACTTATGTAGGGAGACACAAGTATACTCCCTTAAATAGGGAGTTGAGTAAAGAGGCTGTTGAAGGAGATTTTTTTTTGTGGTTTCACTGCTTAAAGTAGAGAAAAAGTGAGAATGGGAGACTGTTAGATAAAATACAATTTGGGTAAGCTATATTAACAAACGGTATGCTCTCTCAAGTTGTCATCTCAATTTGAGAGTCTTTGGGTTTGGTAGACCCATTTTAGAATCGATTTTAGTGATTCGAATTGTTTAATTTTTTAGATTCATTAAGTAAAATATTCATACAAAAAATAAGGCGATTGGACATGAATAACTATATGTTTGAATCATATTAGTTTCAAAAAAATAGACAACAAATATATAATTTCAAGAATAACCATTTATTTTTTATAATACAAATTTGATTCAAACATATAACTACTGATATCCAATCATCTTAATTTTTTATGTGAATATTCTATTCAACGAGTTCTAAAAAGTTAACAGTTTTAATCATCGAAATGGGACTTGGGATCGGCTCTATGGACCCCCAAATTCTCTCATATTGAGATGTAAACGCAAGAGAAGCTGTTCCTTTAAGAAATATTGGTGATCCCAAGTAAATTAAGTAATTGAGAATCAAAGGCTTCAACCACTCCATCCACTTCCAAAATTTCATACTAGTAAAATCATGATTAGCAATTGCTCAACTACATAAACAATCAAAATACTCCAATTATACCATATGGGAAACCAAAAAAAAAAAAAAAAAGATCATTCAATTCAAGCCATAACAAACTGAATTACCATTCTTCATTGAACTATATACATATATATGAATGTATATGACTGAAACATAGCAAAAAGAACATGAATTTACCGGAATATTCAGCGCCGGAGCCGCCGCCGACGGAAGCAGAAGAAGAAGCAGAGGCAACCATAGATAGAGAAACCAGATTGACCCTTTTGGGATCCAAGCTTAATTTGGTGCTCTGAAAGAGAAGGAAATGGGTTTGGCTGATTGGGAATTTGGGTAATGGAGAGCGAGTAAGGAAGAGAAATTGGTGAATTGTAACAAACCCAACACTAGTCATGTCTTTGTGCCTGCTCAATTACTCCTATATTTATACCTATTTGCAAGGTGTATGATGTGGGACTACGAGTGTGTGTGTGTGGGTGTGTGTGTGTGAGAGAGAGAGAGAGTGGTTTATGATTTGTGAAAATGCTTTTCCAGTCGGGGGACGGTTGATAGACTAATAGGGCATGATTTGAAGGAGATATCCGTGTATTTCATGAAAAAATTGAGAGTTATGAGTGAAAGAAAGAACGAGAGGATACCAAACTTGATTTGAAGGAGATATCAGTGTATTTCGTGAAAAAATTGAGTTATGTGTGAAAGAAAGAAAGAGAGGATACCAATGAACGAGAGGTTGCTGTGGTGCCTTATGGCACATTAACCCTATTACGAGATCTTATAGAGGTATTTTTTTTTTATTATATTTTAATAATTTAAATTGTTTATATTGTAAAATTTGTCGATTATAATATGCATATAAAAAATTAAGTTAATTAGACATCTGTAATCCTATAATCAAGTCCTAATTGTTTTAAAAATATTATTAAAATCATGTTAACCATGTATTTTTTTAAAAACAAATGTACTCTTATTAAGAGGCTACAAATGTCTAATTTTTTTTTATTTTTTGCATGAATAATCTATTCAATGAACCTTACAATATCAATGGTTTAAATTATCGAAAAAGACTCGGGACACATCCTCAATGGGCCTCACAACATGTTGTGCCATAAGATATAGCAAGAATCCCAATTTCACCACTTTGTGCATTCCTCCTGTTTAATTGAGAAATTTGAGAAAAAATTTAAAAAAAGAAAATAGATATGTAAAATTATATGAAATGTAAATATATTTTATTCACATTTCACCTACCCTTTCCCTTTCCCTTTCCCTTTCTCTTTCCAAATCTCTTAACCAAACACAGTATTAGAGAACTACATGCACGTGGAAGTTGGCAAAAAATTTATTAACACATATAGGGGGTGCAAGTTTCATTTACACCCCACTACAGCCATACTTGTACTCCCATGCGTTTGTAATTTTTTTTTCAGTCCTGTTTTGTAGCTTGAATATCTGAAGGCTTGAATGACCTGAAAAGCCAAAACGACGTCGTTTTGGCCTTTTTTTTTTTTCCTTCTCTTTCCTTCGTAGTAACTCACAGAAGAAGAAGAAGAAGAAGAAGGAGAAGAAGAAGAAAGAAGGAAGAAGAGAAGAGGGGAGCAGAGAGAGAGAGACCAACCAAAAATCAAACCCAAACCAATAGAAAGAGTGCTATAGAGACCCAAATCACCCAACACAAAGTTCAAACTCAAATCAGATAGTGCTACAGAGACCCAAATCACCCAACACAAAAAAAAAAAAAAAAAATACATCCAGATCCAGATCAACGCATCATCATCAACACAGAAAAGAGACTAAAAAAAAAATACAGAAAACAGAGAAAGTGGCGATCGGCGACGATACCCACCGGCGATCGATCGGCGACGAGCCTCTTCTCTCTTCCCCTTCTTTGTCTCGCTTCTCTCTTCTCTCTCTCGTCTGTATTTCTTCTCTCGCTTTCTCTCACTCTCTCTCTCTTCCTCGTCTGTGTTTCAGATACAAAAGAGAGGAAAAAAAAATCGCAAAACGAGCTACCAGCTATTTTTCTTTTTTTTTCTCAACTCCTACCCATATGTTTCTCCTTTCGGCTTTTTTTGATATTTTATTTTACAATAATTCCTTAGGTCTTGTTTGGGAAGAGATTATTTTAACAACTTTTTGACTTTTTACGAAAAAAATATGCAGAAAAATAAAGAGAGTAATGTGATAACTTATAGTAACTTTTTAACTAAAATGTATAGTTGACTAGCGAGGCCTTAGTGCCCAAAATTCTTAGCCCTAATTTGCCCAACTCACAGGTGGAAAGGCCATCTCTTCATACCAAAGACAATTCAGCAAGTGACATCACCAATAGGTTTTACTCCTTTTGTCTCAAAATATTAATCTCTTATTTCATTTTTCATTATCCCAAAATATTAGTCCCTTTTCAAAAATTAAGAAATAAAAAATAATATGAATTTATTATTTTGCCCTCCTTTTAAATTCATTAATAACATAAAAAGTATAATTATGACAATTGATATTCTCAAAAAAATTATTATCAAAGGGTAATTTTAAAAAATTAATATTTTTAAAATATAATAATTGTACTATGAAAAAAAATTAGATTCCAAAAATGACCATTATTTTGGGACGGAGAGAGTATTAAATTATAAATTGACCTAAAAAAACTTAAAAACAATTACAAAAAAACATAAATAGTTATTAAAAAATTATAAAAAATTATATTTTCGTATAAATTTAGAATTAGTATTTATATTTATTTAATTACAATACTAAGACGTGAAACAAAAGACAGTTTAGATTATATTTTCGAATTAAAAAGTGAGTTAAATAGATTTTTTTTTTTTTTTTTTTTTTTTTACTATTGCATCGAGGCAATCTATAATAAATTATAGCCAAAGAATTGCTAGTATTAAAAATAACATATCATTGGAAAAATGTAAGTATAAATTATCAATGAAAGTTTTTGCAAGAATTAATATTAAATTAGATCTGCAACAGTCTGAGGTACAAAACGAAACAGATAGCCTGTTCTAAGAAAGGAAAGATTGAGATTAGACACCTCTGTAAATCGGAAGTTTGCCAATGCCAGAGTCCTACGCCAACTACGTTCAGATAACGGTTAAAAATCTATAGATACTGTTTTTATTTTGGAAGTATTGTGGGTCTAAATCAAAACATCTTAAAATTATAAGGAGTGAAGTAATAAGTTTTTCATTTTTATAAGTTTTAATCACCATTTCTATATCCAAGATCTATTACTAGATCGTAATTAAGTATTAGTACTAATCGCAAACTGTCAATAACGTCGTAATTTTTTACAAGATCTACTAAATACTGATACTGCTAAAGATATAGAATTTATTAGGAAAAAAGTTGATAAAGTATCTCAAAAAATTATATATTATCAACGACAACTAAGTTTAATATCTTAAAAATATAAAATAATAATAATAATAATAATAATTGAGAGGGTAATTTTTGGGAAAGAATTGGGCCGAGCTGTGAATTGGGCCCTGCGGCCCAAAGTGTGAAGGAATCGGTAAGAAGCCGTAGTGATATTTCGGCCCAGTAGAGGCATAGATACTCCGGTCCAGGAGAAGTGTAGTTATTCCGGCCCAGGAGAGGTGTGGTTACTCCGGTTCAAGAATGTGTAAAGCAACTCCGGTCCGGTGGCAATTTGAAGTAAGTTCGGCCTTACATTTTTTTTTTTTGGTATTTTCTTAGTTTACCTATACAGTTTAGATATAGATTATATATTTATTTTAAAGTTATTCTGGTGCCGAACTTTTATGATTGACCTCTGCTTTGTAGTATGAATCTTATATCTAGATTTATTCATAATTTATCTTTAGTGCTTTATTTGGAAATTTTCATTTGTTTTACACAAGATTTTTCCTTTGTTTGATGTAAGCTTATTGATGATTTTCTTATAAGTATTGTTTAACAATTTTTACTTTAATAGAAATTTTTATTGATAAAAATAAAATAAAATTTAAAAAATTAGGCAATTTTTACTTTAATATAAATTTTTATTGATAAAAATAAAATAAAATTTAAAAAAATTAGGTACACACGTCTTGCCCCAGAGCCCTCAACACTGCATGTGGAGTCAAGAGCCTCTCCTTGCAAGCTTGTGCTTGCGTCCGTCCTTGCAGGTCTTCGGGTCTACTTTTAGGCTCAATTTTGATAATCCGAACCGTTTATATTTTATGATTTATTCAGTATATCATATCTGTAAAAAATCAAGTTGATCGGATATCAGAAAGTATGTGTTTGAAAAATTGAACTAAACACTATTTTTTAAAGAATTTAATAAACAGTTTTCCGAACATATGCTTTCTGATATCCGATCAACTTGATTTTTTACAGGTATGATATACTGAATAAATCATAAAATATGAACGGTTCAGATTATCAAAATTGAGCCTAAAAGTAGACCCGAAGGCCTGCAAGGACGGGCGCAAGCACGGAAGCTGCAAGGAGAGGATCCTCACTCCTGCATGTGGTGTACATGTAATCATTAAAACTTGGTTGGATCAAAAGCCTTCTTATTCGGGTCCTAGTTAATGTCTGCTAAGTAGGATATAACATGCATAACGAAAATGTTTGGATCGCACAAAGGAGGATTCCTACTACTCTATTAATGTATTGATTTTCTATGTATTTAAATTTTTTTTTTTTTTTATCTTTGATAGTGACATAAATAGTTCAGATCATTTTAAAGGTTATGGAGTTGTATTTTGTGGAGTCCCTATCATTACTGCATACATAATATTGATAATAATATATAAGTATAATTATATATAAAATTTTCATAAATAATAATGTGGCTTCATGTACTTCCTTCATCTCCAATCAAAACATTCACCATAATCTTTATAATTTTTAAGATAAATTATAAATAGACTTCCCGAGATTTGATTAAAATACGAATTATTCTTTGTGAATTATTCTTCCGTAGTTGCTATGTGTTAGAGTCCCTATCATTACTGCATACATAATATTGATAATAATATATAAGTATAATTATATATAAAATTTTCATAAATAATAATGTGGCTTCATGTACTTCCTTCATCTCCAATCAAAACATTCACCATAATCTTTATAATTTTTAAGATAAATTATAAATAGACCTCCCGAGGTTTGATTAAAATACGAATTATTCTTTGTGATTTTAGAAATTATATTTCACCCCCTAAGTTTTTAATTTTATAACAAATCGCTCATTTTATTAATAAATTATTAATTCAATTAACAGTTTTTAATGATATTGGAAATATGTTTCAATTAATAATTTAAGTAATTTTATTATTATATAGGAGAGTAATTATAAATTTCATTTTTTTAGTTAATTTTGTTAAATAAAAAATTCTGACAATAGGGTATTTGTAATTTTTCAAATCATATGGGACAATCTGTACTTAAATCTCAAGGGGTGTATTTGTAATTTACCCTAATTTTTATAAATGCAATTGATACATTATGTTGAATGTGTTTTTTTTTTTTGTATAATTTTCTATTTACAAATCATTTCCCTTATAATATATATATGAATATTACTATATTTGTAATATTAGGCTATCAACAACTTTGATTCTTTTGAATAGATTTTTCTTTATTCTATTATTTTTTAGTTTTCAATTTGAAAACTTTACTTCAAAATACATATCCGATTTTTGAAATTCACCTTTAATTTTACAATATTTTAGCATTAATTGAAAATTTCACTGACTTTCCACAGCAAAATTTCATTGTT